TTAAGTTTAATGTAGATTAATTTCATCGCTTATAGTCTTCTATCTACAATTTTAATTTAACTTAATTTTTTTTTGGGGGGGGGGTAGTCTCTTTTTCTAATAATAAAATTTCCTCACCAATTCGACACACTTTCTCTTTTCGCTTTATTCCTGTTCTGGAGCTGCCCCAATTAGCTGCGTTTCTGTTGCCGGAAAAAAAGGCTGTTCCTGGATCTTTCAGGGACTTTGCGCTGTCTCGGAGATGAGCAGGAGGTGCCTTTCTCAATCACTGTCTCTGCGGGACGGTTTAGGTCCGAATGGACCATCCAGTGGCAGAAATATCGACTGCGATCTTGGAACACCAAGATCGCATGTCGTGCCATCACGACGTCAGCCCCTTTCGCCTTCACTTTTTTCTGTGTATGCAAACACCTAAGTATTTTTCTGTTGGACAGAAACGAAAAAGGAATAGTACTGTAGAGGAAATGTCATGAAGGAAAGAAACATTTACAAGAAATGAAGAAAAGTGAAATGAGAGAAGGAGGGAAATAAACTAATACAGAGATTAGAGTACAAGGAAGAAAAGACAAGAGAAAGATTGCAAAAAGCTCAATTGAAGCCTTTAGGCATGTGTGTATAAATGCTTTATTCCCAGCAAAGTCGGCCTAGCATTTGCCCTGTTTAGACATTATGCCTACTCTATATGTGACCATTTCCTCACACTTAAAGGAGAATAGTGCAAAACTGTACTAGTCCCGCCTATTCCATTCTTGCCCTTCACATGTTGAGGTGAGCCTGCAGTGGAGAATGAGAGAAGAAGGAACTACTTATGTAACTCTTGTCTCACTAAGAATAAGAACTAATCTGTGTGTAAACACCAGGGATCCTTCTTTCTCTCTCCTGCCTCTGTTGAATTCAGTTTCTTGTATGATCTCTTTCCTACCATCCTTGTTTGCACAACAGCCTTTATTTAAAAAATATAACAAGACTTTCCAATTTAAAGATAATAATTTGAAGAGAAAAAAAAACTGTCATGCTTTTCAGCACATGATCTGCCAACCAGCAGTTCAAAAGCATGTAAAAAATGCAAGTAGAAAAACAGGGACCACCTTTGGTGGGAAAGTAACAGCGTTCCGTGCGCCTTTGGCGTTTAGTCATGCCGGCCACATGATCATAGAGTTATCTTTGGACAGCGCTGGCTCTTCGGCTTTGAAACTGAGATGAACACCGTCCCCTAGAGTCAGGAACAACTAGCACATATATGCGAGGGGAGCCTTTACCTTTATATAGAAATTGCAATAGATGAGATTAGAATTGGTAAATTCAATGTGTGCAAAGAAGATTGAAAATTGTAATATGCTCTCTGTTTCAGAATCCTAAAATATACATAATTGAATATTTAAAGTATAATAAGCAGGCAACTGTATTTTATAGGGGTGTATATCAGCAAGACAACATACATTCGTCAAGGAGAACAATCTCTTGATGGTTTCTATCGGGCATGGCACCAAGTGGACTACTACAGGTACAGCCATTTTAAAATAAAGTTAATGATCTCTCTTGTCTTCCTTTCAATGCAGTTCACACATAATACTGCAAACCAAGATATACAGTGAATTCAAATGATTACTTGTGTGTAAAAAATAATGATGGTTTAGATAATTGGAGCCAAGCATTTTGTGACTAAATTTTTTAATAATTCTGCTTTTAGACATTCCTAAAGTATTTAAAAATTACTAGGAGAAAATTGTGTGGGTATTCCGAATTTTCCATGATTCCCAGGCTATGAATATACAGAGCTAGCTTAAAGTATGTAAATTAAATCCTGAAATGAGCTGCTTTTGAATCATTATTTGATACTCTAGTATTTAATCTTCATGCTAATATCTCACTACTGAAATAGTTCCAGTAACAAAACTGAATCATCATAGTTAATGAGGTTCTGTTGGCATGTTCTTTTGGTGCATTCTGTGGTAAGGTTCTTTGTATGCAGTGAGGTTTCAGAGCTTTTTTCTAATTGCATATCCATATCATTCACTTTAATTTCTTTATAATTGGAGACTTCGGGAAAAGCCACATGAAAAGCTGACTTTCTCTTGTACCCAGAAAACACAGAAGTCTCCTGATTGATTAATACTTCATATATTATCTGTCTTTTTTTTGGTGGACAAAGCCTGAGTCCCATATTTGTGTGTCCTACTAAGATTGAAGCATGACGTGCATATGAGCATGTTGCTCCTAAATTCAGACATAGGCTGACATACAACTAACCTGATTTCTGTATGAAACTGAGCAAGATTTGATATATTTGGAAGTTAGCACAAGGCCCTTTGGATCCTTACATTTATCATTTGTACATTAATATTTTTTTTTAACCAAAATATATACGTTGTGAAAGATGTTTCTTCATTTTATTGTTATTTTTAATACATTTTTTGAACAAACCTAAATTGGGAAAATGTTGAACAATTCATTTAGGTACCTGAGGTTTTTCCCAGATGGCCAGGTAATGATGTTAACAACTCCAGAAGAACCTCAGTCTATTGTTCCTCGATTACGGACTAAAAACACAAGGTATCTTCTACATCTGTATTAAAGAATTATATTGTCCATGGGATCCTGATATTTTTAATGAAAGATAATTAGGTACATAGTAAAGCTACTATTATTTTTCATTGCTTAGATGATTAGACTAAAGAATGCATTAATCAAGAGATTTGAAAACTACACTTAAAGTTATCTTTAATGAAAGAAAACCATGTTACAATCTAAAGTTAATTATAATTTCAGTAAACTCTGAATCATAGGGATTTAAGTTGGTCATTATTAATTTAAATCCTATTAATTCTCAGACCTAATTTAATAATAGTAGTCTTTGTATTAGCACTTGAATGAATATATTTTCATGAAATGTTTTCCTTCTAAATCTCAGAACTGATGCAATCCTGCTTGGACATTATCGCCTTTCCCAGGATACAGACAATCAAACCAAAGTATTTTCTGTAATGACAAAGAAGAAGGAAGAGGTATTTATGTAAGAAAATATTAATGGTCAACAGTAATCAACTGATTAATAGAATAAGAAAACAGTAAATAAGTATTGTACTTCAGGATAATTTGTTAAGTAAAAATACAACTTTAGAGTAGTTCTTTCTGCAAAATACTCTCTCCAAATATTCTTAAATTCTGAATGTAAAGAAAACTATCTTTTGGCATATTTTTTTCTTTTTAAAATGGAAGGTAGTGAAATATAAGGATATAAGGACATTGTTTAATAATTTTAATTGCTCTGCTTCCTGCTGCCTTGAACTAGTGAAGGCAAGCTGTAGATTTAAGGAGAAGACTGATTATTTGGCAATCTATATATGGATTTTCTTTTTCCTACCTTCTAGAGGCATAGAAGATTGGAATTAAGGGCTAGAAAGTGAACAAGAAAAAAATGTAAAAAGTGTTGAAAGCTAAGGGGGAAATTGAAGGCTTAGGAATATTAGAAATTAATAAGCCTTTTCCTGTTTTCTACCACATAGTAATTTTATAGATGCTTAATATTTTCACTATCAACATTTAAAAGTCTAGTTTTAGAAGTAGGATACGTAATATTTTTAAGTATTATGTTGTATTTTATATTACTAACACTGTAGAAAAATACACTTCATTATCAATGTAGAAATGTTTTTGTCTGAATCAGCATTCATAGACTCCAGAAGAAACTGATGTAGAAAAATATATCTTTTACAATTGTATGAATGCTGATTTTCATTCAGACAATAAACATGTTCTGTGTTTATCACTTCTCACAATAGGATCATTGTATTTTGATTTTATACATTAGCATAGGATATTGCTGACTATGGTTGATTAGTACCAGAATATTTTGTAGAAATGAAAATGTCTTTGAAATGTAACATTTTATCTTTTAACTAAGATATAGTTTTAGTAGCCATTTTTTGCTGCATATCCTTGACAGCCTATTCCTTTCTTGTTTGTTATGTAGAAACCAATTGACTATCACAAGTTCAGATATTTCTGTCGTGTCCCTGTGCAAGAAACTGATCACAGTTTTCATGTAGGGTTACAGCTGAATTCCAGTGGCCGTCAGAAATTTAATAAACTCATTTGGATTCATCATTCTTGCCACATAACTTACAAGTAAGGTTTTTTTTTAAATGCTATAAAAAACTGTAAAAGTCCTTGAAACCTAACTAATAGAAGATATTTTATTTCTTCCTTTTTACAAGCTTTTTTTATGCCTGCATACAACATGTAACAAAACTTGGAGAAGGAATTATATGAACATTTATAGCACATAATCATACCACTTATATTATAAGAAATGTCTGTATCACTACATTTTAAACTTGAGCCTGTAAGATTAATAATTAGAGTTAATGTTCTAATATAAAAATAAATGCAACTATCTGAAAGGTGAGAATTGCCCATAATATCACATTGTTTCTAGTTGTTTCCATCGAACTAGCCAAATATTGCCAGGAGAATAAAGTGATGAAAGAATTTGGTTGTACATCAATAAGTAGGAAGAAGAGAAGAAGGGGAAATTCCATTGAGTGAATTGAAATCCTTTTGTAATTACATAGTTTGAAATCTTTTCTAGATATTTTCTCATAGATGAAGCAGAATACTGTTTTTAATTTCCTAGGCAAATAAATCTAATTTGCTCAATAATATTGAACAAATCAAGCCAGGGCAATCAAACATCAAAAATATTTGCCAGACTTATCTCACTTCTTTACATGGATAATTTGAAACTCTGTTGAAAAACACCATTCAGAATAGAGTCGCTGCTCAACACTGGATGAAGACAATCATTGCTGGCATCCTTCAAGCTGGTAAAATTAAGTTCACTGAAGTCAAGAAGAAAGTTAGAAGTGAATACATCAAGAGAGTGAAGAAGTTCTTAAAGTCTAAAAACTCAGTGAAGGGAAAACCATCAAGGTAGCTAATACATGGACCATTCCAGTCACTAGAGCCGAATTAAAATGCTGGCTGCACAAGACCAAGTCTTAAAAACAAATGCATACAAAAATGTGAATTGAGAAGGAAGCAAATGCCAGCTCTGCAAAAAAAGCTGAAAAAATAGTGGAGTACCTATTTAGTGATTGCAAGAACATTGTACAGACTGATTATAAATAAATAGCATGACAAAGTAGCAACAATAGTGCATTGGAATAGCTGCAAAAAGATAATTTGCCTGCAAGCAAGAACTGGAGGGACCATATAGTAGACAAAATAATAGATGAAGAAGCTAAAAGTCCTTCAAACAGACAGCTGCATAAAACCCCAGACTTAACACTTATCAGTAACAAAATTGAAAAAAATCTGGATATTGGATGCTGTTACCAAAAGAAAAGATGTCAATAGTAATAGATGCCTTGGGTGCAATTCCGATATTACAAAAAGGCAACTCTATTTGGAACAGCTTATGTCCTGCAACAATATCTTTAACACTATCAAATAGCAACCATTATCCCAGCTCCTTGAGAAGGATTTGATAGATAAAAATACCAAATCCAGTGTAAACATCTGCTGACTGTATAACGAACCATAATAAGTGTATGTTGTGCCCAATTCTCAGTGACTCTGGGTAGATTACGAATTGTTAAAAACGTTTAAAACAAGGGAAAAACAGAAAAGAATAAAGATGACAAAACTGGATGGGAACAATACATGAAGGGGGCTTCAGTTCCCCATGGCAAAGGCCTGGATGCAGAACCACTTCTTCAGGGCCCTTTGTAACAACTAAGATGGGAGCCATTCAGATCTCATGGAAACCCCCCATTCCAGCGAGCAGGAGCTGCTACAGAGAACGTGGGCTTCTGAGCTCTTGCCAGTTGACATTGTTTAATCAAAGAACCTGGAGCATGCCCACCCTGCCAGATCAGATAAACAGATACTAAACTAAACAAATTAATATGATATTCTTGTTAAATTATTTTGCAGTATTTTAATAATTTGTGAGTTATTCTCTAATTAGCACCAGAAAATGGCATTTGTGCCTCAAAGTCTCTTCTAGCCATGAAAATCATACACAACCATTTCTTTGCAGTGTAACTTATACATTCATGTATTATTTTGGAACCATGCTCCAGCTTTAAGGTCTGGAGAACTTTGGTGTCCAATTCCATTTGGCAAAATAGCCATAAATGTAAACATGCTCTGGTTTCAAGTAAAATATTTTCTTACATTGGATGCAAAGAGAATAGGTACAAGTTATAATATTCAGGACAGTTTTCTTCCTTTTAGGCAAGGAATAAGACAGACATGCTGATCACTTTTTTTCTCTTTTTTAGGTCTACTGGTGAGATAGTAGTCTCTTCTTTTGACATTGACAAGATGTACACCCCTTTGTTCTTTGCACGCGTGAAGAGCTTTACTGCAATTTCAGAAAGGCCTCTCTAAGAAGCTTATATTTCTTGCATGAAAGAAATTACAGCAAAAAACATTTAAGTTATAAATGTGTGTGTGTGCAGGTGTGCGTGCGTGTATGGATGGATGGATGGATGTGTGTGTGTATGTATATATATATATATATATATATATATATATATATATATATATATATATATA